TCAGGGCTAGATCCAGCTTGATCCCTTGAGGATCACTTACTATTATCACTGATAACAGGTCGGTTGCCGATTCGTCGGTCTACGACTCAATTTCAACTCTCCCTCTACACTCAACCTAAAAGGTTTTAGCCCTGGTGATGTCGTTGTTTTATTAAGGTTTTATCCGGACTTTTATTGAATGACCATTTAACAAAGGTACTAAGTATTTTAATTAAGGTTGGTTGGACAGGAGGTTTTGGGGCTTGTATGGCTAAAACGAGGGGTATGAGTGTCGAAGGTGGTTGGGATTGACTCCGTGTAATGTGTGGGTTGTTGATTTGGTTCGTTGATGTGACTGCAGGTGTGTGCTGTGAGTCACATTCTGGATTTGGTTGCCTGCGATCACACCTATGCGTATTATTGTGAGAAACCCCAGTGAGACCGTGAAAAGTGATTGTCACATACTTAACCCTTATATATGTATACATGGGTATACTTGGGATGGATGTTTGCATGGGTTGAAGAGCCCCCACATTAAAGCCCTACTCAGAAGCTTAGACTGAGGGGCTTAGGGGAGGTCTCTCCTTTTATTCTTGTCTCTAGCTTTTTGATGATTTTCTTAGTCGGACGTTTGGTCCTGGGCCGGGATTCGAGGTCCTTGTCCAGGACACCCCACGCCCTAGGCTCTGCAGGGGAAGGGTTTTCCCTCGCGCAGAGCCTATTTGATTTGCCTTCCGAGACACTCAAGTCGAGAGCCTAAAGTGCAGCGGCGGTTGCACGACTATTCCTTCAGCCGTGCAATGTCGTGAAGGGTTAGGCCCTCACGACACTTCAAGTCTGACACTTGAGTGTCATAAGCGGTACTCGGATCCACGAGGGACCACTTGATTATGGGCACTACATAGTACGCCATCGTTGCGACTGCTTGTGTACGTCTGCATTGCAAGTCGATATGAGCATGCCCTGCGTCCGCGCGGTTTTATACTAAGTTCAGCGCGCGACGCCTATCCGATTTCCGCATTGGAAAGTTATGGGTTGGCTACCGAGGGGCTAAGAGCGTTGTCGCGTTGTTGGTATTGTGTCGTTTCGTATATATGTTGTTTTGTGTGTATGTGTGTTCGTAAAGTGGAGTGCGCGTGGTGTGTGGGATGCGTCCTAGTCGACCGACGATGAGTCGCGCTTGGGACCGCAGCCCCCCCAAGATGTCGGTTCGCGTGCGGGTCCGATAGAGGCGTATTACCGCGCATACCCCCTATGCTACAGCGAACGAGAAACACCCTCGGCTGGTCCACTCTACGATTGCAACTTATTAGCTTTCGTACTGTGGATCGGTAGCTCGGCGGGGATACGCCCACTGAAGGGAGGTGAAAGCTCCCGTAAGGTGTAGGTAAGTCGTGCCTCGCGTAGCCCTATCCTGTCGTAGGGGCTCGTGAGAGGTATGGTTGGCGCACTCGGCCGGAGCGGCTTGTGGAAGCTCCATGTATATGGCGACGAAGGGTTTAAAAACCAACTTCTGCGTAACGCGGCCGGGAGGGTCCCGCGCTGCCCCCGTGCGGTGCCGGACCGATGCGCCCGACACCGGGATACTCGGATTGCTGGCCGGCCCCCCCTTACTGCTGCTACTCCATCTTTTCTTTCCCCTCGGCACCTCCTGCCGGCGCTTGTCGTGACGGTATTTAACGTTTTCATCCGGACTCCCCGGCCCGGCTAGTCCCGTCCACCTGATGTCATGCTACTTTATTTTTGTTGTCGTCGTATTTGATCCAGGAACTCCTTGGGTTGCCCCAGATGCCCTCCGTTTTTCCCACCTCGCGCCCGTCTCCTCCGTTCCGTTGACAACTTCCGTCAGCGCCCGACTTCTCCTCTTTTTCTTATCGTTCCTAGCCCCTCCCCTTTTTCCAGCGTCATCTTGATTGACGACCCGTTCTCGTGCGCCCTCCTCCTTGGGCTGCTCGCCGATTATTCCGCCAATGGATCCGACCTTCAGCCCCCGCTGGCGGCTCCCGACACTTTATACCGTCGATACCCATCTTGCTAGTGGTCCCGTTGGTGCCGCCATTTTGTCTGGGCCCCCGCGGTCCCTGGCACTTCAGTCTGCCTGCATTACGTCTTTCCCTTGGTCTCACGCGATTCCCCGTACTTTGCCCTGCTGGCACCACGCCGTCCCCTAGTCCCGCGTGGTCCCCGATACTTTTTCCTGTTGGTACCGTCCTGTCCTTCGATCCTATGTGGTCCCCGACACTCCTGCCCCACCTGTACCAAGTCTTTCCTAGGTGCTCCTATCGTCCTTCCGCCCTACAGCGACTTCCGCCCCCAGCTCCTATTGCGTCCCGCATGTTACTCCATTCCGGGTGCCGGCTCCCACCTACCCTGTGCTCTCCCTGGCCCTCTTGTCGCCGCATGGCGTCAGCGCCTTGCGCCCTGTCCCTTCCCACTTCCTTCCCTCCCTTGCTGCGCACCTCCTATGCTACTATCGACTTCCCGGCGGCCCTTCTCCGTCCTTGGGAAAAGAGTCGGCGCCGCTGCTGTTCTCTCACAGTCCTTTTGCCGCTTCCTGCTTAGACAACCCCTTTCTAGTTTTGGTGGCCCCGACGACTCTAGGCAGCCTCTGGCTTCCTACTGTCCGTGCCCATGCTTTCGCTCTTTCCAACATTCCTGCCTCGAGTGACGAGAAATCATTCGGGACTCACCAGTCCCGACACCGGACTGCAAAAGAAGTTCGGATGGGGGAGGACTTCTCATTTTCATCTGGCCTCTCATGTCAGTGGGGACTTCCTGGATCTTCGTTGGATTTAACAACCACAAGATTTCGGATCGTGCGTCTCTTTCACCGCCTCTCTCTATCGCACCCTCCTCAAGTTCGGATCCCGACAAACTTCGTATTTCCGGCTATGCATTGGTCTCTACTTGGGCTTCCTAGCGTGTGTTGGGTCGCACAAACCACCCTGCTTCTCCGGCACACGACTTGTCGTTTTGCCCGTGTGCAGTACCCGAGTTCGCTTGCACGAACACTGCGAATTCTCATGTGGCCTCTGATGCGACGGTGCTCTTGCTTCTTCCCCGTGGATTTTTTAAACCATAAACATACGGATCCTGTCTCTCCGTCTCTCCGGCTCCCTCTATCTCGCAGTTCGGATCCCGACGAAATTCACGTGCGGGGTTCCGAAAGCTCTTTCTGTGCGGTGGCCACTGGCCAGGAGGCTCTTTCTGTGCTTCGATCCCGATGCGGTTGTCGCCCGACCACCTTCAAGATGTGCCAAACAGTCGTTCATTGTCTTTGCGTAGTGCCAAAAACACTCTTAGGGCCCTCTTGTTGGATCTGGATCTGTTTCGAGTAGAGTTTTACACTCCACAAGTAGAATTCCCCTCCAGTTCCCGCAGGTTAGCAGTTGTTCGGGCAGTCGTTCGCGATGCTGAAACGCAACTGGGGTGAGTTTGGTGGGCCTTCTTGTTGGATCTAGATCTGTTTCGAGCAGAGTTTCGCACTCCACAAACAGAATTCCCCTCCAGTTCCCACAGGTTAACAGTTGTTTGGGCAGTAGTTCGCGATGCTGAAACGCAACTGGGGTAAGTGTGAGGTGCTTAGCACCCAAAGTCTGTCTGCGCGATGCTCAGTTGCAAGTATTCGGAGTTTCCTTGGGGTTGGTCAAGCTTTGGGCCACCCTAGCCCATCGAGTGCTCTACCTCTTGCAATGAATGGGGATCGAACAGATGCCTCTTTTCTAAGTTGATTTGGGTGCTGATACCATTGATGTGCTACGGCATGTGGGTTTGTAGAAAATGGACCTCTATACTGGGGTAGGTAATTTATGTCATCCATGTGTTGGGTTGTTGTTGTATCTTGGACCGATGCAAACACAATGCCGACGACAAGGGGCGAGGAGCAGCCGACCGGTACATAAGGGAGGGAATCGCGGACCCCCAAATCGTGGTCCTATCATGCGCATACCAAATGGTTCGTCGATTGGTGTTGCGGGCATGAGTCCCAGCCGACCAAACCTCCTTGCGGTCTTGTTATATTCCTCGAAGACAAAAAAAGGCGTAGAGTTCTTGGGGCGGTGGCCAGATGGCAGCCTGCAATGATGATGGCGTTCTCGCAAGCCGAGAAGACGTAGGAGTTGCCTACCCTCAAGCTGGCGTCGCTAGGGCTGGAGAAACCGAAGCCGGACGTGCGGGCGTCTGAAGCCAGAGGACTGGAAGGACGATCTCGCCGACCAATACTATTATTATGTTGTTTCCGGCCAGCACAACGAGGCTGCAGCCAAGGCGTTGCTCGACACGGACGTCGCATTGAGGTACAACTTCGACAGGTGGCCTGCATGTATGGTTTACTTCTTGGACGAGGAGTTCGAAGGGTATTTTCTGGTCAGCTCGGGGGACAACATGAAGGACTTGAAGGCGCCTCCTAGACAACTAAAACTATCAATGAAGGACATTCGGTGGCTGTGGAAAGAAAAGGGTTTCCCGAAGGCTGTTATGGGGAACCCCAACGGAAAACAAGCTCAAGTGAAGACATGGCGTGAGTTTTGTTTGCAGGCGCTTCACAAAACGCCTTACAACCACTTGTGGCTTCTCGATGATGAGAAGGGCGAGGACAGTATTAAGAAGCAGAACGCTGCCCTTCGCTCTTATTTTCCGCTAGTGATGACTGGAAAAAGCGCGTGGGAGTTGGGTATGGAATTTTTCGAGAAATGGGAGACGGGGAGAATTTTGGCACCCGAGGGGGCGAGGTGGATCACAAGTAAACGGAAAGTGAAGGGCGTCAGGCCCGGCGTTAGCCACATTGAAAACGTCAAGTTGGGGCGAAAGGAGGTTGTCTACAACGTCCCCGTCGAGGCGCCCCAAAAGAAAGGAAAGAAGGAGAAAGAGCCTGGTGATTGGTTTGTCCAGGTCACCGAGCCGGATCCGCACTGGAAGAGCATGGAAGCCCTTACCGACAATGAGAAATGTCGGTTGCTCAAGAAGGTCCTCAACTGTGACGTTGTGTGGGTGCAAACAAACTCCGCATCGTTGGCGAAGCAAGGCAAATTGGGAGTGCGGGAAGCAGTGCACCTGCTCAAGTGCGATCGCATCTTGGTGCAATTGTGGAACTACTATCAGTTTGTGCACGAAAATCGGCCGACCGCTGATTGGACACGTGCGTATCCCTTCCTGAAGAAGCGGGAGTCGATTTTGGCAGAGTTCGAGAAGCAGGGAATGGATGCCTCGTTGTGGGACGGGAGCAGGAAGCTCGTCAGTGACGCCTCACTGTTCAAGGACTGCCCGCCATACATGGGGTGCGAGGACGACAAAACGATCAAGGCGACGAAAAAACTCGCCCAAAACAAGAAGTTGTTCGCCGACTGGAAGAACAAGGTCCTCTCTGTGCTGACGGGCAGTAGGGCGAAGAGCATGGAGGTCGCGCTTGTCGAAGGCGTGGTGCACGTTCTGTGGAAAGACTTGGGGGATGTGACATCGATCGCACCTGTTCGACGTTGACCCTCTGGAGGCGCAGTTGAGGGTCAGGGAGCTGGAAAAAGCGGTTGGGACCACGAAATGCCACAGGTGCGTTCTCGATCTGTGCGAGCCGGTGGACTTCAAACAGTGGACGCCGAAAGCTTTCGAGAGTCTGAATTCCCTCCTAGAGCAATTGTTTCCGTCACACTGGACGGTCGTCGCTTTCGTCCCTCTGCAGTGGGACTACTCCTTCATGACCAGCCTGCGACATCTGCCCGTTGTGAAGGCAATGGCAGGGAAGTGGGTCAGGAGGACGCAGCAGAAGAAAAGTTTCCCTGTGGGGAACAACTTGTACTCGGCTGACGACCCCATGTACATTCTCTTCAAAGGTGACGATTCGAGGGAGAATACATGTGTCGTCTACGATGCTAGGTTGTCGGCAGGTAGCGCTGCCGCTGTCGGGGTGCATCAGAAAGTGACCCCGACAGACATATCGGAGACTCCCTTCGACCCTTGTGGGTGGCCGTCGGCCATGCCTGGAGCTGACAGGAAGGTCTACAAGGACATGGAGCGGAACCCCGCACAATTGGCCCATCTGCTGGAATTTGTGTGCAAAAAGGGGGAGGGCGTCATGTTCCTCGGCAAGCCGCACGCGCGAGTCCTGTGGGAGGTTTTGAAGAGCGGCCGACACATGGTCGGGCTGGAAGGGAATTATGAGCTGTTGCAATACACGTTGGAGTTCCTCAAAAGCGAGGTCAAGTCTGGAGCCAGCCGTTGCGAGTTCGTTTCGAGGAGTGGGAAATCAACACGCGTTCGGGAACCGTCTACGGACATGTGGTTCAAGTTGAGCGAGCGGAAGAGGAACAAGATCTACGAGTTCCTCTTTTTGGAAACGCGGCCCGGGAGGGACAATGACGCTGAGTACATGCGCCACAAGGAACACATGTTGGCATTGCTGGACAACTACCACAACGCCTCACACAAGAACGCAAAGAACTTCCTCGACCGGCTGGACTGTTTGTACTTCGTCGAGTCCGAGCAGGTGCTGAAGCTCGAGAGTTATGGTGCCTTGATCTCCACGGACGACGAGGGGGAGACAGGCATTGTTTTCGACACCGCTACACCAGAGGAGGACAGCGACAGCGAGGACATCAACATCGATTACCATCTTGCTCCGGCGTTTCATGCCCCTGGCTCCTCGTCGGCTGGTCCCTCAACAAGCCAGGCCACCCAGGCGTCACCTGTGCTCACGCTCACCCCAGGTAAGGACCCGAGTAAGCTGGCGGCGAGACTGACGCCTCGGCCGGCCGCCCCGCCTTCATTGCATCCCGGGAGCTCAGTTCCTCTGCATCATCCTTCTCGCAAGGATGATGCCATTCACTTCGAAGGGCTCGACCGCACTCGATCGAGCGAGGCGGATTGGGGCCATGACAGGATATGGCACCCAGGAACTATCCAGCCGGCAATCCGGAAGGGCGAGTGGATCACGGCGCTCATCAGCGACCGAGGGTTGTGGCAGCCATACCCGCGCCACTCCAAGGCGGAGTACCTGGAACTCGCGAGGATTTCGGTGCTCGACAAAGTGAGGTCTGTGAATCCCAACTTTCAACCCGCCGACCCGGCCATCGATTCCACTGCTGAACTTTTGTTTTAAGAACTTCAGGACAAGCAGTGGTTGAAACTCTCGGACGAGTTCTACGAGCTCGACACGAGCCTTTCGAAGGGACGGGTGGATTGGAAGGTTGGCCCTGCGATCAGGCCGGAGGGTAGTCCCGGGGGGGCGGGGGGCGGAGCAGGTGGTGGGGGAGGCGTAGCTGGTGGGGGAGGCATAGGCGGGGGGGGCGTAGGGGAGGGAGGAGAAGGTGGGGGCGACATAGAGGTGGGTGTCGGAGTGACCCCCTCGGGGACAGCAGAGGGTACCACCGCTTCGGGTGGGGTTTCGCCTAAACACGAGGCCACGCCAAGGGAAGGCGGTGGTGGTGAGGGGGGGGAGAACGTTGTTGGAAAACTGACTGCTAGGTCCGGTAAGGGACCTGTATCGAAGTTCGCCGGAATCCGGACGACATGGAGTGAGGCACCGGGCGTAAGTGGAGGGCCCGCTGACCATGATGAGCCGAAGTCTGCTCGGATCCGGACTTATTCAGAAAGGGCTCCACAGGTGAAGACTATTGTGCCGACGGGAGGGGGTACGCACGTGGGGGTAGGAGAGTGGGCCTCGGGATTCGACATGGTGTTGGGAGAATTCCGTGAATGGCATGGGAGGGACGGAGGGGAAGAAGGGGAAGAAGGGGAAGAAGGGGAAGAAAGGGAAGAAGGGGGAGAAGGGGAGGAAGGAGAGAAAGGGGGTGAAAAAGGGGATATCCACATTGACGACGAACGGCTGGGCAATGAGGAGGATGCCGGCTGCGAGGAGTCTTCTGACTCGTTCGGGCACCTTTACGTGGGCCATCCGGGGCCTGATGTCGACAACGATGCGACGACAATGGAGATGGAGACGCAGGTGGTCAGTGACCTTTCAGCAGACCCTGAACAATATGAGGTTCAACCGCTGACGGCTGCAGTCGATCTCCAACACCGTTGCGTTGAGGTTTTCGCTGCTGTGAGCCCGGCTCAACGAAGTCAACAATTGAGCGTCGTTGAAGTTATACATGGGATACTCGGCGACAAGCAGGTGGTCGGGCAACGGTCTGCAGCGCCTGTCCTGGACGACCTCCAAAACGTCACAACTTTCGTGCCCTCGAACACCGTTGTCTCGCCACCTAACTCTCTGATACTGGTCGTCACCTTAACCGGGGGTAGGGAGGGGGATCTAGGGGGCCGGCAACATGTCACGTCCTTGAAAAAATCTCAGGTCTGCACTCAAGCTCTCGACGTGCTGGGCTTGCCCGCGCCAAAGTCGTCGACGAAGGAACGACGGGATAAAGTGGCTGGTAAGTAGTGATGAACGTCGTGTCGTACGCGCTCCCCAACAAAAAACATAGCCAAGTCTATTGAATGACAATTTTTTTTTCTTCATCCACAGAGTCGTCGCTTAAGTCCACCGTGATCCGCACTTCCTATGTTGATGCGTGAGATGGTTACTCTTTGTGCGCCTGTCGTGGGAAGAAGTCCGTCGGAATCCGAACTCCGGGGAATGTTAGCGTTTCGCTTTTGTGGCTTGTTGTTGTTTTCCTTTATTGAGGTCGGGGTCTCAAGCTCGATTGCGCTTGTCCTGTTGTTCTCCAACGGCACATGACCATGTACATTCGGACTTCTGTGATTGGACAGGTCATGTGCTTCTTTTACATTGTCACTTTCGTTGGACTCGTGTTGGGTAACATGTATTCATTTTTCGTTTTGTCTTCCTTCTGTTGTACAGGGGTAGGGTCATCTCGAGCACGGAGGTCCTCGAAATATCCGAAACACATGTTGCAGAAAGCCCCCGGGTTGACCACAAAACACAAGGATATGTTAAAGGCATCAGGGGTTGATGTTGAGATCGGGAAGAAAGAGCATGCAATTGTCATTGAGAAGTGTCTTTCCCTTCCGCCCCCAGAGAAAGGGACATATCCCCGATCGGTGAGTAGGGGTCAAGCAATGTATGAACAATATTTAGCAAAGCGTCGTGCAATGAAGGACAATGCTTAGACACTCCATTTCTCACTGCCCCACGTGTCCTTCGCTCGCTGTTGTGCAGTGCAGGCCACAACGCGTGGAACAAGCGGGGAAATATTCGTTGCAGCTGCAGCGACTACGCCTACCCGCTTGCGAGTTTTGGACGACATTGTACAAGGGTTGGTTCCGCCTCACACTGTTCTCTCTATCCTCGCCGGTGGCCAGTTTCGAATTGCGGCAAAATATCTTCTCACCCTCGTGCATGTCGACGGCGGAGTGAATGATGAGGTAGTCAATTTTTACATGGCGCTGTTGGGGTCGACCGCATGTGTGATAAGTGATATACCGTCAGGCCTTCGAGTCTAGAGCTTTAATTCATTCTTCTTAACTAAACTGCAACTTCAAGGATACGACGCAGTGGAAAGGTGAGCTACAAAGGTGGATCTGCTTCGATACGATATTATCTTTGTTCCTGTCCACAAAGATAACGATCACTGGATCCTCCTTTTCGTCAACTTGAGAGACAATGTCCTCGAAATTTTTTATTCTTTTCCTCGCGTCGTAGCTGATTCGAGGTTTTCGAATTGATTGTATAGTGTTTAGAACGTCAGACATTACACGGTCGGTCCGGCACCAGTTGGAGGTCGGTAGCAACAAAGGTACTGCTCGAAGGAGCTCCAAGACAAGTGGATTGAGCTAGTTGCGGGGTGTTTATGTTGATGTTTACGACATTGTTACAACGTGGTGATCGACCACCTTTCAAGTTCTCTTCTAAACGTATTCCGAAAATTAGACGACAATTGGCATCTTGTGTCTTGGAACGCCGTCGTCTTTGACGGGTTCGATTCATTTGCAAACTTTGGTTTGGAAATATTTCATTACTTACTGATTATATTTCATTAATCCTGACATTGTTTGATTGTCGTTTTCACAACGACGTTGTTTTTTTTTGTCGTTGCGAGTATGAGTTGTTTTTCGAATGCTCACTGTCGGTCTCACATCACATATTGAGTCTGGAATCTGAGTCAGGTCTCACTCGTTTCTTGTACTATTGAATTCGCCGCATTGCATTCCTTGCTCCAGATTGTGTCTCGAATGATATTGGTGTGTGTAGTGCAACATGACAAATTGGTGTGTGGATGAAAAACAAATCTCAGCGATTGTGTGTGTGAGAGGTTCATTACGCGAAGAGTCAAAGACCAATGACTTCACGTCTCTTGTGTGCGCATAGAATCACATATTTTTGACCGCCTGAATTACATGTAACCTAAAAAATTGCGTTCGTGCCCAAGCCTTTTGTTAATGGTCATTGAAAGTGTGGATTTGATCACATAATAAGCAACATTTTAATTTCTTTTGTATTATGACAGGTGTTGTCATCGAAAAACAACTTGTATGTCAAAATTAACCGTTAAACTTTGTACTTCGACTGCTACTGTAACTTTTACATTACTCTAAGTTTTCAATGACACATTGCTTAAAACAAACATGTCAAATAAGGATACAATCATGACACCTTGCTCATTGCAATTATAAACAAGTATGGGTCTCAGCATACTTTCGCATATTGGGCGAGATGGTGGGCGTGTCAATCCGTTGGGTTCGTTGATAAACAAGGTTCGATGTGGCCCGGTGGCCAATGTTGCCCATCGGACTGTCACGATTCGACTTCCACAGATACGATCCTGAGAGAGAGAGAGAGAGAGAGAGAGAGAGAGAGAGAGAGAGAGAGATCCGACGATTTGTGACAGCAATGGGAGGTGCTGGCCATCAGTGTGTGATGAAACGACTTTCAAAGAGAAGATCGTGTGAGAAATTACGTTGGGAAGACCATTTATTAGGTTTTGGCGAGAGCGATTTGCCAACATTCCATTGGTCAATCAATCAATGGATCAGTTGGTGATTAAACAATCGATCAGTCAACGGAGTAGTGATACCATAACCTCTATGTTTCTCAATTCACTGCTTATTTGAATGACAGGCCCATTGATTGATCGATCGCTTGTTTGAGGCATCGAGTTGTCGCTGGAACCGCCTTCATTAATTAATCTTTGACCGGAAAGTGCCTAAAGACGTACGCATGCACTCACCCCCCCCCACACATGAACAAGCACATGAACAAACGAGAGTGAACAACCCTTCAATCATGAGCGACAATCAACCAGTCCATCAACCAACACATCAGAAACGTTTTGTCGATCAACATACTAATAGATGGGAAGAGAATCCACTAATGGATCTATCGCTTGCTTTGGACAATGGTGCGGTCTGTTGATTGGTCGATTGGAAAGTTTCACGGACACTCTGCTAATCAGACGGCATGAAGGGAATGTGGGGAATGATAGGTTGATCGAGTAGCTGATTAAATCAAATTGACTAATGCAGATGTACATGAACAAGCGTGCGCGCACGCGTCTTACAACATGGACTATAATCAATCGATCTTTCGCAAGATTGCGAACCATTGGGCAATCCATTGACTGATTGACTGGTCGGGCAGACCGTTTCAAGGATCGTCCGGTCAATCACACGTGGCATTTTTTTATAGGCACGCGCACACAGACGGACAGAAGGGCGCACGCACAGAGACACACATACACATGACCACAACGGTCCCGTTTGATTCGAGGATTGAATAGTGCATGGAGCCGATTGACGCACAGACACAAACATAACCATAAACGCGTGCGCACAACAGCAAACGCAAGCGATTGCATTGCAGATTAGAAGGCTGTTGTGCTCCGTTTAGACTCCATCGTCAGATCTTTCGGCTCAATAAGTGCAGGCGACCATGAACAAACATGTGCGCAAGCAAGCAACATCATGATGGCAATCAATCAGTCGACCAATCAACAGATCATGAACGACCGGTTCATTTATCGATTGGTTGATTGGTCGGGTTTACCGTCTTAAGGATCACCTTGCTTATCGAACGTTTGATGTGTCGACACCGACAACATGCCAGGTGAGCACACACCCGCACACGCGCGCAAAAGCACACACCTACAAAAGTCACAACCACTATGGTCCTGTTTGGTTCAGTGGTGCTGTGCTGGTTCATTGGACCAGGTTTCAATCAAGCATGGTCCATGGACACAACGATCTGCTGATTGATCGAGTGGTTGATTGGACTGAAAATTCATTGTTCGTTGGGTTTTTTTATTGCGCAAACCATGTTGCCAACATGTCGGGCTGTCACACACATACTATCCCATACACAAACTTAAGGCACACAAACACAAACGCACGCGAGCACACCAACGCTCGTGTGCGTACTCGCACGCTGAACCCATCGCGAGTGCGCATGTCGCGTTCGTCGTCCAATGTGTTTTTTTGGAATACCTGTTCCTGTCGACACTTACCACTATGAAAATCTTCTCTGGCTGGGTGAACATGTGGGGCAGAAAGATCATTGCGCAAAGCACGCTGGCAGCAACGTTGCATGCTGACTGTGGTGGCAAAGCGTTTGCGCTGATCATGTTACTCGCATGCAAGGCAATCCACTCAGTAAGGTCGATGAGTGATGCGAGAGATTACATGGAGCACCGATGATCAGGACGCAAAGGGTGCTTGAAGATGCAAGCAGGTGTGACCGTGCGCGGTGAGGATACGTGTGGTGGTTGTGATAACACCTAACGATGTGTATCTCCTGTTTTTTATATAAGCTGCGGCGATGGCATATAACTTCTCTGTGGCGCTGGTGATAGTGATGGCGTCAACTCGTCGTGAATGACGGGTGATGGTGTTGACGACAGTGGAAGTGAGGGATGCCTGTCCGACAACATCTCATGAGTGAAATGAGAAAAGGCAAAATGAATGTTGGGGGGGGCGGCCTTGTTTTATCGGTTGTTGCATTGACGGCTTGCAGTGGACCCTACACTAGGACTGGAAGGCCTTATTCGACATCAAGATCGGACCGTCGTCGTGTGTGTAGGCTTGCGGCAGTGACGACCGCGGTACAGTCAGATTTGATAATCGGCGAGATGACAAGCCCAGTCCGTCGTAGCCCGCAGGTCTACAGGTCGAGGCGCGTCGGCGTGATTTGAAAAACAGTCCCGCAGGGAAATTTTCTCCAGGCGGTGGGCGGGGCCTCGACGGGTGCAGACTAAGGGGTGTGGAATTCTGCATTCCACACAAAAACCGAAGGCGAGGCCTTGGCGAGCCGTTTGATTTGCGAATCGGGCGTCCATGCTCTGACTTCGCCCACACACGTCTGAGGACGTCATGAAATGCATTACGACCGTTTTCGCCACGCACAAAGATGGCCCACTGAACAGGTCAAGAAAAAAAAAATGCACGAAGGTGGCCTGCAAGGGCCGTTCAATTTGTGCATCGGACGGTGGAAAGTCGACAGGGCATGAGGAACGTTGCACTGCACGAGGAACGTCGCACT